GCGGATCCGTGAGTGGTACGAGCGGCGCTGCACTCTTCGGAGTGGTGCGCCTGGTGTCGCAGACCCCGCTGCTGCTGGTGCTGAGGACCCGGGCGTTGGAGCTGCTGCTGGTACTGAGGACCCGAGCGTCGGAGCTGCTGCTGGTGCTGAGGACCCGGGCGTTGGCGCTACTGTTGGTGCTGAGGACCCTGGAGCTGGTGCTGCTGCTGGTGCTGAGGACCCGGGCGTTGGGGCTGCTACTGGTACTGAGGACTCGGGCGTTGGAGCAGCTACTGGTACTGGGGACCCGGGCGTTGGAGCCGCTGCTGGTGCTGTGGACCCGGGCCTTGGCGCTACTGCTGGTGCTGAGGACCTTGGAGCTGGTGCTGTGGAGTCGGGCGTTGGAGCTACTGTTGGTGCTGAGGACCCTGGCGCTGGTGTCTCTGCTGGTTCTGGAGTCGCTGCACGGTGGCGGCCATACTTCGTTCCGCTCCTTCAGCAGGTTCTTGGTCTCCCGCCTTCTCCCGGTCCTCCTCCTCCCTTAGAGGGTCCACAGCCTGTCCAATCACAGTTACAATTACAGCCCGCCTCCCCACTGCCTGCTCCTTCTCTCTACACTGGTCCTACTGGAGGTCTTGTTGAGCGTCGTGAGCCTGCGTCTCGCCCTGCGTTGCCTGTCCGTGCTGCTCGCGCTAGTGGTCGTGGTTCGCGTCAGCGTCCTCCTCCTGTCCCTGGCACGCACCGGATGTCTCTGCGTCCGTCCACTACTCCTCTGCGTGCCGCTTTACCTTCTCCTCCTGAGTCTTCTCTTCCTGCTCTTGCCGACCCGGAGTCGGACTCTCTTCGTGCTGCCAGTCCTATTGTCACGCGTCTCCTTGCTACTGCTGTCACTGACCCTTCTTTTGAGTCCACTGCTGCGTCTGCCCTAGTTGCTGAGCTCGTCGACTTTGCTGCTCGCTGTCGTCTAGACTACGCTGCTAGTCTTGTCACTGAGTCTGTGTCTGTCTGTCCTCCGTCCGTCGGGGGTGCATGTGCCCTTGGCACGGACGTCCTTGAGGACAGGCAGGAGGAGTTCCAGTGCTTGGCCGATGCTTCACCTCATCTCGTGTCCGTACTGCTTACCCCTGAGGGAGACCCGGATGCACTTGACATCCCGACTCCGCGCTCTTACGCGGAGGCGATAGAGGATCCCTACTCTTCTCAGTGGCGGGCAGCTATGGATGCAGAGATGGCTTCCTGGAAGTCCACAGGCACCTACGTTGACGCTGTCCCCCATCCTGAGGCGAACATCGTCAGTGGCATGTGGATTTTCAGGGTGAAGCGGCCGCCGGGTTCTCCGCCTGTCTTCAAGGCGCGTTACGTGGCTCGTGGCTTCAGTCAGCGGCATGGAGTTGACTACTTTCAGACCTTCTCTCCCACCCCGAACATGACCACAATTCGGGTACTGTTGCACGTAGCTGCTCACCGTGACTACGAGCTACACTCTCTTGACTTCAGCACTGCTTTCCTGCAGGGCAGCCTGCACGAGGAGATCTGGCTGCGCCGCCCACTTGGCTTCACTAGGACTTTTCCTCCTGGCATCCAGTGGAGCCTCCGGCGGCCAGTCTACGGTCTCCGCCTGGCACCTCGTGAGTGGCACAACACACTGAGGACTACGCTTGCGGCTCTTGGGTTTGCTCCTTCTACTGCCGACCCGTCACTGTTTCTATGCACCGACACTTCTCTACCGCCGTTCTACATCCTCGTGTACGTCGACGACTTGGTCTTTGCCACAGCTGACAGTGCTGGACTCGCCTACGTGAAGTCCGAGCTGCAGAAGAGACACACGTGCACTGAGCTGGGTGAACTGCGTAGCTACCTTGGCTTGCAGATCACCCGGGATAAAGCACGCCGCACCATCACCCTAACTCCGTCACACATGGTGCAGCAGGTCCTTCAGCGCTTCGGCTTCACGTACTCCTCGCCTCAGGCCACTCCTCTGCCTACTCGCCACTCGCTCTCAGCTCTGCCTTCGGATGAGTCCGTAGAGTCGAGTGGCCCGTATCCAGAGCTTGTTGGCTGCCTCATGTACCTGATGACCTGCACACGACCTGACCTTGCATACCCTCTTAGCATTCTCGCACGCTATGTTGCTCCTGGGAGACACCGACCAGAGCACATGACTGCAGCGAAGAGGGTGTTGCGCTACTTGTGCAGTACGTCGGGCATGGGGCTAGTGCTTGGAGGGCGGGGTCCAGTGGTCCTCACTGGTCACGCAGACGCTTCTTGGGCTGGCCACGCGCGGTCGTCACAAGGTTACACCTTCAGCCTTGGTTCCGGCTCTGTTTCTTGGCGGGCTACTCGCTCGTCTTCTGTTCTCGGCTCCAGTTGTGAGGCTGAGATCTACGCAGGGGCCATGGCTGCTCAGGAGCTTTGCTGGCTCACCTACCTGCTGACCGACCTTGGAGAGCCGCCTCGTTCTCCTCTAGTCCTGTACGTAGACAACAAGGCCATGCTGGCCTTGTGTCGAGAGCAGAGACTGGAGCACAGAACAAAGCACATTGCTCTCCGCTACTTCCTTGCTCGTGAGCTACAGCAGCGTGGTCAGTTGCAGCTTGCTTACGTGGCCTCTGAGGCCAACTCTGCTGATGTGTTCACCAAGGCACTTGCGCCTTGTGATCATCAGCGCTTCTGCACCCAGCTGGGTCTTGTACCTGCCTTGCCTCTCTTGCTCACCTCTTGACCTTGCTTGTACTGTTACATATATATATATATACCTGCTCTTGCTTGTCTAGCCATATATATTCATGTACTCCTGCATGTAAACTGGCCTTGTGGCCTTGAACTTGTGCTCGGAATGTGTGGTGACTCTGTGATCCACCCTGAGCTTGCTTTGCTTTGTTTTACTTGACTGGTCTTGTGACCCCTAGTTCTTCCCCACTTCGCCTATGGGGGTGTGTCAAACATTATATATGTTGTGCTTGTTTAGGCTACAGTGGGTTAGCCTATAGGGGGTACAAAATTCTAGGGTTAGGTACTTGTACTGATTTCACTGTTAGTTCCATCATTCCTGTTCGTTCATTTCAACATTTTCCGCACATATAGTGTCATCGAAAGCCCGTCGTACCGTCAAGTGTTATTCAGTTGGCCCTCACTTTGATGGTGTGATGCTTAAGCCGCATATCTAGCTTCCTACGCGGCCTACAATTTTCGCAACTGTACGTTTGGTTTGCAAATCAAAAATGAGATCTCGCCTTGTATTTTATACAACAGCACCTATGTTTATACAAGGTTTAAAAAGACCACAAAATAACATTTTCTACAGCGATCCTAACAAGACCTCCAAAAAACCCATCCCCTTATCACCCCTGCCCGCCGGTGCTGGTGTTGTCCTTCGTCGACGCCCCCTTCGTCGTGTTCCCCTTCGCGGACGACTTTTTAGTCTTCTTCTCCTTATCCACCCTGGTTGTAGTGTCCCGGCTGCCCAATTTCTTCTACAGGACTCCGAGGCTAACGCCTTGGTGCTGGCAAAGGCCTCTTGATGCCATGCTGCATAGGCACCAAGTAGTCACCACCTTTGCCACCACCCTCGTCATCCTCTTCGTATCCCCCCCCGTGAGCGACCCTGCCGAAAGCACTTTCAGAAGCGCATCCGACAGGGGCGGAATCCACGCTTCCTTGTCATGCTCCTGATCCTCGACCAACCTCATCGCATCTACTGCAGCGCAAGCAACAGAGGCTACAAGCGGCGCAAGGGCATCGAGGACGGCAGATGATACTGATGCAGCAGAAGATGACGAGGAAGCAGACGAGGCGGTGACAGCAGAGACCGAGTGGGCAACCGATGTTGCGATGGCCGTAGAAGTTTTTACGGCAGTATTTGAGGCGCCCGTCTGCCACTGCGTTTGGTCCACATTCGTAGACGCATCCCACAGTACAGACAATGTCGCGGCGAGTCCGATTGCGTGTTCTTATGTAGAGTAGCCGTTTTCACCCTCCACGCCTCCCACGATCTTCTGCCACGCAGTTATTCCAACAGCAGCCCAGACAGCAACCTGAAAGCCATCCCTCTGCTGCTACCGAAGAGCAGCCGTGTTGGTTTGAACTAGTGAGAATCTGCACAAGCCACCCATGTTGATCAGAACCATCGAAGTTCGCGTGTGTGTAGAAGTTGCAACTTTCCATCGCAAAAACACTCACCCGTCTGGTTTGTCGAGGTGGAGCTCGTTTAGGACGCTCCACACACCCGTAGGAAGCCATGTCGTGAACCCGAGGTCTTCGTGCCACGCGTTTAAACGGTTGGGATTCATTCCGTAGGCCTCCATGTCAATGTTCGGGAAAAAGAACCTCCAGCAGACTGCGACCGTGTATCCCCTCTCCCACATCGTTTTGTGGGAGCCGAGGTTCCTCTTCCGGCCGCCCACGGTCTGCTCTGACGTCCACTTCTGCAGTGGTCCCTCGCCTCGTTGGGAGAACCCGCTTCCCCTGAATGGCAGCCGGACACCTAAAGTCTTACCCAAACCGTCCACTACGGCGTTTTTGCGATTATCACACTTGTCGATCTTCCGCCCTTTTATTTCTCCTTCGGTAACCGGTATCAACTCCTGTATGCCAACTGCCCGGCGTCTCTTAGACGCGTGACCCTCCGGCTCCCTGTCCTTCTGCCTAGGCCTCCTCCTGGACACCTCTACGGTCTGCACGGGAACAATAGCCACGCAATCTGCTACATTCGCCTCCCCGCTCTCCTCCAAACTCACCCTCCCCAGGCCCTCTGTTATTTCCTCCTCGACTCCCTCCCCGGTCCCCTCCCCCTGAATGGTCGAATCCTCCTCCTCCATCTCCCATGCCAAACGTTCCGTCTCTTCCGCCATAGCCTTTACCTTTGCCTCCAGAATCCGCTGCTTTTCCGCGTGGGATGCAAGTCTGGCCCTCTTCTCTACTCGACGATGTCGCCGCTCTTCCTCCTGCTGTTTCTCCCTCTGCTGCCGCTCGGCCTCCTCTGCCTCCTTCCTCCGCGCATCCTGCTTCTGCAGGCGCTCCATCTACTGCTGTTTCTCCCTCTTCTGCCGGTCTGCCTCCTCTGCCTCCTTCCTCTGCGCATCCTCCTTCTTCAAGCGCTCCATCTCCTGCTGTTTCTCCCTCTGCTGCCGGTCTGCCTCCTTCCTCTGCGCATCCTCTTTCTTCAGGCGCTCCATCTCCTGCTCTTTCTCCCTCTGCTGCCCGTCTACCTCCTCTGCCTCCTTCCTCTGCGCATCCTCCTTCTGCAAGCGCTCCATCTCCTGCGGTTTCTCCCTCTGCTGCCGGTCTGCCTCCTCTGCCTCCTTCCTCTGCGCATCCTCCTTCTTCAGGCGCTCCATCTTCTGTTGTTTCTCCGTCTGCTGCCGGTCTGCCTCCTCTGCCTCCTTCCTCTGCGCATCCTCCTTCTGCAGGCGCTCCATCTCCTGTTGTTTCTCCCTCTGTGCCGGTCTGCCTCCTCTGCCTCCTTCCTCTGCGCATCCTCCTTCTACAGGCACTCCATCTCCTGCTGTTTCTCCCTCTACTGCCAGTCTGCCTCCTGTAGCCGCTCCACCTCTTGCTGTTTCTCCCTTTGCAGATGGTCGGCCTCCGTTGCCTTCTTACTCTGCTCCTCCTCTATTTGCCGCTGCTCCTCCTCCTCATGTTTCTCCCTCTTCAACCGCTCGGCGTCCACTCTCAGAACCACTGCCAACCTCTTCTCCACCTCACTTAGCATCCCCTCCTTCAACTCCTTCATCCCCGACTTCATCTCCTTCACAGCCTCCATCATCTCCTTTATTCCATCCTCCACATCCTTCTGCCGCCGCTCTTCGTCCAGCTGTTTCTTCTTCCTCAATCGCTTGGTGGCCTTTGTCAAAGTCCTAAGTCGAGTTGGGCTGAGGAGCCATAGATAGGAGTAGCTTAAGTTTGAGTTGAAGGGTTGAAGGAAAATGTCGAGAGGAGAAAGTTGGCCAAGAAGAGAAGTGTTTTAATAATTGAAGGCATACAAGATATAGCCAAGGAAATGGGCAAATGGTGCACCACCAAGCAGGAAACTATATAACTACACTAAACTCTACTGTAGGCATTTATATATGTATAAAAATACATTTCAACAGCCTCTATTTCCTTTCTCTTCTCCTCTTCCTCCTTTTGTCCCTCCCTCCTTTACCACTCGGAGTCCTCTGCCAGAACCGCTGTCAACCCCTCTACCACCTGCTTTACCATCCCATCCTTAGTCTCCTTCAAACCCGCCTTCATCTTCTTCATCACCTTCATCAATTCCGTCATCTCCTTCATCCCCTCTCTCGTCGCCTTCTGCCGACGCTCCTCCTCCCGCTGATTCTCCTTCTTCCGTCTCTCAAACTCTTCAGCTACCTTTTTGCTCGCCTCCTCTTTCTGCCTACGCCCATCCTCCCGATGTTTCTCCTTCTTCAGCCGCCCGGCAGCCTCTGCTTCCTTCCTTTTTGCCTCCTCCTTCTGCCGCCGATCCTCTGCCTGCTGTATCTCCCTCTTCCGCCGCTCGGAATCTTGTCTCAGAACCTCTGTCTGCCTCTCTACACCCTCCCTTAACATCCCCTCTTTCAACTTCCCTCCCAACTGGCGAACCTGATCTTTAACGCTTTGCATACTGGCCTGCAAGGTAGAGAGAGTGGAACGGATCTGCTCGCAAAACTCTGCCGCCGTTTGCACTTCCCACCGCCATTTCGTCGTTTCCATGTCGGACCTCTGCTAAGTTGGCGAGGGCGTCACGGCGGTAATGGGCAGTCAGATCATGGACGTCACGAATGATACTCCTGTTGTGGGCCGTAAAGTTACAGAAGGTCTGTGTCATCATTCGCGCTATTAGGGTCAAACGACGCGTGACCTTTCCTGGGGTGATCTCCCAGCTCTCCTCCTCGACGAACCCTGTCCTCCTGTTCAACCAGGACTGTACTCGTGCGCCGCAGCATCCGCCGAATGGCCGCCTCTGCCTCCACCCACTCTACCTCCACCCACGTCGGCATTTGAGGTCCGCTCTCCTCTAACTCTCTCTCGTGCTCCCTCTGCATTTAACGTTCCACTACAACCCTCGTCGCGCCGTCTTCAACCCCTCTGCTTGACCTCTCCATTGTACCCACGGATCTACCCCATCCTCCCCTCTATCGGCGGCAACTGTCATGTGTTCTTTACGTCCTATGCGATCATCTGCTGCCAACTGAATCGGCTCCACGTCAGCCCTCCTCTGCACCCCTTGGTCCTCCAAAATCCTAGCGTCATTTTCGGCTTTCTGCGCCTCCTCCTCCGCTGCCTTTAGCGCATCTGCAGCCTCCTTCCTCTTCGCCTCCTCATCCGCAAGCTTCGCCGCTTTTGCAGCCTCCTTCCTCTTTGCCTCTTCATCCGCAAGCTTCGCCGCCTCCGCGGCCTCCTTCCTCTTCGCCTCCTCCTCCGCGGCCTTCTGCGCAGCCTCCTTCCTCTTCGCCTCCTCATCCGCAAGCTTCGCCGCCTCCGCAGCCTCCTTCCTCTTCGCCTCCTCCTCCCCGGCCTTCTGCGCAGCCTCCTTCCTCTTCGCCTCCTCATCCGCAAGCTTCGCCGCCGCCGCAGCCTCCTTCCTCTTCTCCTCCTCATCCGCAAGCTTCACCACCTCCGCAGCCTCCTTCCTCTTTGCCTCCTCATCCGCAAGCTTCGCCGCCTCCGCAGCCTCCTTCCTCTTTGCCTCCTCATCCGCAAGCTTCGCCGCCTCCGCAGCCTCCTTCCTCTTCGCCTCCTCATCCGCAAGCTTCGCCGCCTCCGCAGCCTCCTTCCTCTTCGCCTCCTCCTCTTCGTCTACCTCCTCTGCCTCCTTCCTCTGCGCATCCTCCTTCTGCAAGCGCTCCATCTCCTGCGGTTTCTCCCTCTGCTGCCGGTCTGCCTCCTCTGCCTCCTTCCTCTGCGCATCCTCCTTCTTCAGGCGCTCCATCTACTGCTGTTTCTCCCTCTGCTGCCAGTCTGCCTCCTCTGCCTCCTTCCTCTGCGCATCCTCCTTCTGCAGGCGCTCCATCTCCTGTTGTTTCTCCCTCTGCTGCCGGTCTGCCTCCTCTGCCTCCTTCCTCTGCGCATCCTCCTTCTGCAGGTGCTCCATCTCCTGCTGTTTCTCCCTCTGCTGCCGGTCTGCCTCCTGTAGCCGCTCCACCTCTTGCTGTTTCTCCCTCTGCAGATGGTCGGCCTCCGTTGCTTTCTTACTCTGCTCCTCCTCTGTTTGCCGCTGCTCCTCCTCCTGATGTTTCTCCCTCTTCAGCCGCTCGGCGTCCACTCTCAGAACCACTGCCAACCTCTTCTCCAACTCACTTAGCATCCCCTCCTTCAACTCCTTCATCCCCGACTTCATCTCCTTCACAGCCTCCATCATCTCCTTTATTCCATCCTCCACATCCTTCTACCGCCGCTCTTCGTCCAGCTGTTTCTTCTTCCTCAACCGCTCTGTGGCCTCTGCTTCCTTTCTCTTCTCCTCTTCCTCCTTTTGTCTCTCCCTCCTCTACCGCTTGGAGTCCTCTGCCAGAACCGCTGTCAACCCCTCTACCACCTGCTTTACCATCCCATCCTTAGTCTCCTTCAAACCTGCCGTCATCTCCTTCATCACCTTCATCAATTCCGACATCTCCTTCATCCCCTCTCTCGTCGCCTTCTGACGACGCTCCTCCTCCCGCTGATTCTCCTTGTTCCGTCTCTCAGACTCTTCAGCTACCTTTTTGCTCACCTCCTCTTTCTGCCTACGCTCATCCTCCCGATGTTTCTCGTTCTTCAGCCGCTCGGCAGCCTCTGCTTCCTTCCTTTTTGCCTCCACCTTCTACCGCCGATCCTCCGCCTGCTGTGTATCTCCCGCTTCGGCCGCTCGGAGTCTTGTCTCAGAACCTCTGTCTGCCTCTCTACACCCTCCCTTAACATCCCCTCCTTCAACTCCCCTCCCGACTGGCGAACCTGATCTTTAACGCTTTGCATACTGGCCTGCAAGGTAGAGAGAGTGGAACGGATCTGCTCGCGAAACTCTGCCGCCGTTTGCGCTTCCCGCCGCCATTCTTCGTTTCCATGTCGGACCTCTGCTAAGTTGGCGAGGGCGTCACGGCAGTAATGGGCAGTCAGATCATGGACGTCACGAATGATAATCCTGTTGCGGGCCGTAAAGTTACAGAAGGTCTGTGTCATCATTCGTGCTATTAAGGTCAGATGGCGCATGACCTCTCCTGGGGTGATGTCCCAGCTCTCCTCCTCGACGAACCCGTCCTCCCGTTCAACCAGGACCGTACTCGTGTGCCGCAGCATCCGCCGAATGGCCGCCTCTGCCTCCACCCACTCTACCTCCACCCACGTCGGCATTTGAGGTCCGCTCTCCTCTAACTCTCTCTCGTGCTCCCTCTGCATTTAACGTTCCACTACAACCCTCGCCGCGCCGTCTTCAACCCCTCTACTTGACCTCTCCATTGTATTTCCCAAAAACCTCCGCACCCAAGGACCTACCCCATCCTCCCCTCTATCAGCGGCAACTGTCATGTGTTCTTCACGTCCTATGCGATCATCAGCTGCCGACTGAATCGGCTCCACGTCAGCCCTCCTCTGCACCCCTTGGTCCTCCAAAATCATCGCGTCATTTTCGGCTTTCTGCGCCTCCTCCTCCGCTGCCTTCTGCGCATCTGCAGCCTCCTTCCTCTTTGCCTCCTCATCCGCAAGCTTCGCCGCCTCCGCAGCCTCCTTCCTCTTCGCCTCCTCATCCGTAAGCTTCGACGCCTCCGCAGCCTCCTTCCTCTTTGCCTCCTCATCCGCAAGCTTCGACGCCTCCGCAGCCTCCTTCCTCTTCGCCTCCTCATCCGCAAGCTTCGCCGCCTCCGCAGCCTCCTTCCTCTTCGCCTCCACCTCGGCATTCTTCGACGCCTCTGCAGACGCATTTTTTTTTCCTCCTCCTTCGCGGTCTTATGAGCCTCAGGAGTCTCAGCACTCTTCGCCTCCTCCTCCGCGATCTTCGACGCATCCGTAGCTTCTATCCTCTGCGCCTCCTCATCTGCAAGCTTCGACGCCTTTGTAGCCTCCTTCTTCTTTGCCTCCTCCTCCACTGGCTTCGATGCCTCTGCAGCCTCCTACCTCTTCGCCTCCTCCTCCGCAATCTTCGACGCCTCTGGAGTCTCCTCCATATTCGCCTCCTCCTCTGCGCTCTTCAATGCATCTGCGGCCTCCTTCCTCTTCCCCTTCTCGTCCGCAAGCTTCGATGCCTCCTCCGGATTCCTCTGCACATCCTCCTCTGCGAAGTTCTGCTCCTCTGCAACCGCAATCGTCTGTCAGTCGACCTCTTCGGTCCTATGGGCCTCTGCATCTGCTGTCGTCTGCGTCTCAGCATCTGCCTTTTGCTGCGCCTGCGCATCCGCCATCTTCGGCGCTCCTGCTTCTGCGAGCTTCTACGTCTACTCCGCCGCCTTATTCTGTGCCCCTGCATCCGCGACCTTCTATGCTTCTGCATCATTCTTCCTCTGCTTATCCACCGCCGCGATTCTCCGCGCCTCTGCGTCCGCCTTTTGCAGCACATCCGCCACCGCTATCTTCGGCGCCTGTGCATTCGCAAGCATCCTCACCTCGCCACCCCGCCTTCCTAAAATTCTACCGCCCTCTTCTTATGCGTATCATCATCTACCTCATTTTGCGTCTTTTCGGTCGCCTCTGGCTCGTCGACGTCCACTCTCTGTGCCTCTTTGGCCGCCTTCCGCTTTACCCTTGATGCGCAACTTTTCAAGAAACCCACGTCCTTCTCTGTCCGCTGCTGAAGATTGCAGGCGAGATCCACTCCTCCCACTCCCACGTCTGCACATGCCGTGTCGCGTCCCACACGCTCCATAGCATCACGGGTGTCACTCGGTTGAAGCGGAACTTCTACACCCGCCTCTCCCGGTTGCTGCGGATCTTCTACACCCTCCTCACCTTCCTCCAATCCCCCCGCCAGGTCCATCTGCAAGTTTCCAGCCAGCGTCCCCACCCCTTCTCTCTACGTCTCGGTTGCGCGACGAGCAGACCTCCTAACATACTCCGAGAACCTGAGCTGTTGGCCTCCCCTCCTCCCCCGTTCATCTGCTGCGGCTACCCATTTTCCCGGTCCAGGGGCTCTGCACCTCCGGGAATAAGGTACTTCCGCAACCGTTGGTGCCACTTCTTCTACTGCTGCGGCACCGTCTCCCCGCCTGTCGTCCTCGCGTGCACTTCTCTGCATCGATGCCACCGTCACCGCCTCGGCCCTCCCAACTCTGCCGTCTTGGTCCGTCTCCGCATCTTCGACCCTTTCCTCCACCGTCTCCACCTCGTCAGTCGCCTCATTCCCTACAGCAGGTGCATTGTCCTCAAACTGGTCGAAATAGGCACGGCATCCACTCACAAGCATATATCCGACCTCGTCCTTCTTATTTTTGCCAGGGCCTAAGTTGATCATGTTGTCTCCGCTCTGCAGCGCTAGGAGGTCTCCCCACTTGTCCAAGAGCTTGCTAAACAGGTGAGTCACTTGTAGGCCCGATGCCACCTCATGCCGGCCCTGTACCTTGTTGATCTGCAGTAAACAAAAAAAGAAACAAGCAATGCGTTAGCACACGAAACCCTTTCACACAGTGTTTAGATTACACAACCATAATGAATGTAAACATACAGCTCCAATTTCGACGTCCAAACAGTCGAGTCGGACTTTCATGTCGCGGATGACCTCTCCCATATGCTCGCCTCTATTGTCAGAACATCATAGCTTATGCTGTTGTGTAGGCTAGAGTGGGGTATCCCATAGGGGGTACAACCCAATTAGGGTTTCCTATATGTACTCACTTCATTCATAGTTCATCCATCCTCGTTCTCATTCTCACATGGTATCAGAGCAGGTCCCCTCCTAGGGACTGTTCCTTGGGCCCACCGAAGCGTGCCCCGAGTTGCGCTTTCCTTTTTTTTGCGGCCCGTCGTGTCGCACCTAGCGGCCCGTTGCGCCGCCCTTACGGTCGCGTCGAGCCGCCCTAGCGGCAGCGGCGCGCCGCCCTTATCCCGGCCCGTCGCCGCCCTTACCTGCGGCTTCGCGCCGCCCTTACCTCTGGCTTCGCGCCGCCCTTAATTGCGGCTTCGCGCCGCCCTTACCTGCGGCTTCGCGCCGCCCTTCCCTACGGCTTCGCACCGCCCCGGCCCGTCGCCGCCCTTACCTGCGGCTTCGCGCCGCCCCGGCCCGCCACCACCCTTATCTGCGGCTTCGCGCCGCCGTTCTCTGCGGCTTCGCGCCGCCCTTCACTGCGGCATCCAGCCGCCCTTCACTGCGGCTTCGCGCCGCCCTTCGCTGCGGCTTCGTGTCGCCCTTCGCTGCTGCTTGCGCCGCCCTTCGCTACGGCCCGCGCCACCCTTCTCTGCGGCCCACCCGTCGCCCGACCTGCGACCCACCCGCCGCCCTGACTGCGGCCTGACCGCCGCCCTACCTGCAGCCCACCCGCCGCCACACCTTCGGCCCACTGCCGCCCTACCTGCGGCCCCATCGCCGCCCTACCTGCGGCCGCTCGCCGCCCTACCTGCGGCCCTATCGCCGCCCTACCTGCGGCTTCCCGCCGCCCTCCCTCCGGCCCTACCGCTGAGCCGCCCAGCAGCCGAGCCGCCGAGCCGCCCAGCAGCCGAGCCGCCCTGCAGCCGAGCCGCCGAGCCGCCCAGCAGCCGAGCCGCCCAGCAGTCGAGCCGCCCAGCAGCAGAGCCACCGAGCCGCCCAGCAGCCGAGCCGCCGAGCCGCCCAGCAGCCGAGCCGCCGAGCCGCCCAGCAGCCGAGCCGCCCAGCAGTCGAGCCGCCCAGCAGCAGAGCCGCCGAGCCGCCCACCAGCCGAGCCGCTTAGCAGCCGAGCCGCCCAGCAGCCGAGCCGCTTAGCAGCCGAGCCGCCGAGCCGCCCAGCAGCCGAGCCGCCGAGCCGCCCAACAGCCGAGCCGCCCAGCAGCCGAGCCGCCGAGCCGCCCAGCAGCCGAGCCGCTTAGCAGCCGAGCCGCCGAGCTCCCCAGTCTGGTGAGCACAGCGTCTTGTTTCTCCTGCAGTGCCCTCACCCTACTGTTTGCACTGCTAGTCGTCCGTCGTCATGGCTACCCCTAGTGTCCTCACGTTTGACGCTGAGGGTCGAGCCGTTGACTTTGAGGTCTGGGTTGACGACCTGCAGCTGTTCTTACAGTGCGATAGGGCGGACGGCCTCTCTCTCTTTGACCTTACCTCTGGCGCTTCCCCTGCCCCTGCTGCTGATGCTGCCGCCACTGTTCGCTCCCAGTGGGCCACGCGCGACGCTGCTGCACGTCTTGCTGTGCGTCGCCACCTCCCTACCTCCGAGCGTGCGCACTTTAGTCAGTACAAGAGTGCTCACACCTTGTACGACGCTGTAGTCGCGCGCTACTCCTCCCTTGCCACTGCTGCACTGAGCCGTTTCATGCTACCGTACCTCTTCCCTGACCTTGCTGCCTTTCCCACCGTAGCTGACCTCATTACGCACCTCCGCACTAGTGACACTCGCTACCACGCTGCACTCCCTACTGACTTCTGCGCCGCAAAACCCCCCCCCCATGTACATCACTCTGTACTTCCTAGTCACTCGCCTCCCTGACTCCCTTCGCGTAGTCAGGGACCACTTTCTCTCAGTCTGTCCCACCACACTCACCGTAGACCTCCTCGAGAAGGCCCTCCTAGCGATAGAGAAGATCATCGTCGCTGTAGGAGCCTCTCGAGGTGACCCGCGCACCCCCATCTTTGAGGGGTGTTCTCCCTCCCCCCTTCTGCCCTGTGTTGCCTCTGCTGCTGCGGCCGACCTCCTTGGTCTTGAGTCGGTCGGTGCGGCGTCTGCCCCTAGCGGGAGACGCCACCCTGGCAAGGGCAAGGGGGGCAAGGGAGCTGGAGGAGCGGGCGGTGGAGGTGGAGGCGGTGGGGGGAGTGGGGGTGGCGGTGGGAGTGGAGGTGGGGGTGGGGGGGTCGGTGGCGGCAGTGGAGGCGGAGGCGGCGGCGGCGGTGGCGGTGGGAGCAGAGGTGGCGGAGGAGGCGGCGGTGGAGGCGGCGGCGGAGGCGGCGGCGGTAGTGGAGGCAGCGGAGGCGGTGGAGGCGGTGGGGGTGATGGTGGAGCTGGTCGCGGGTCTTCGCAAAGGAGTGGCTCCGGTGGTGGCTCGCGCCAGCAGCAGCAGCGCGGTCGTGAGACCCTGTCCCCTCAGCAGCTCCGTGAGTGGTACACTGCACGCCAGCGGGGTGGGGGTTTTGGTCCGTGCACCTACGTCCTGCGCACCGGCGACCGTGCGGGTGAGCAGTGTGGGGGTGCGCACCCCACCCAGCGCTGCTTTGGCTGCCTGACGGACGCGTGGCGTCACCAGTTCCCGGAGGCCTCAGAGATCCCTCGCTGGGGCGAGCTGTCTAGGGCGGGTTTGGCTATCTTTGATCTTGACTATGATGCTATTCTCTCTGCCATGTATGCTGTGTCTATTAGTGATGAGGGTGACTGTTACCGGTGTTTCCCGCCCGATCCGGGCATTGAGACTGCTGCTCTAGGTACTGGTACGGCTGCTGCCCTAGCTGCTTGCGACGCGGCTGCTCTAGGTGCTGGTGTGTCTGCGTCCTCAGGTACTGGTGAGTCTGCGCTCTCAGGTACTACGTCGGCTTCGGCCTCCCTCACCTTCACCCTTGACTCTGGGGCGTCTCGCTCCTTCTTTCGGGACCGCACCGCACTCACGCCGCTCAGTCGGCCGGTTGCGGTGTCTCTGGCTGACCCCTCTAGGGGTCCTGTCCTGTCTCGCTTCTCCACAGTCCTCCCGTGTCCGGCGGCTCCCTCTGGCACCCTGACTGGTCGCTACCTCCCCTCGTTCTCGACGAATTTGGTGAGTGGTGCTGTCCTACAGGATGCGGGTGTCCACCAGTTCACTCCTGCGTGTCGGCGAGTGACCCACTGTATAGAGGCTGGCACAGGCCGACACATGGCTACGTTCACCCGTCAGCCGGGGTCGAGCCTGTACACTCTGACCACTGCGTCTCCTCCAGTTGCTGAGTCTGGTAGGGTAGCTGCGTCGGGTCAGGTGTTTGCTGCGGCGTCCAGGTCTGGTCCTGAGTCTGCCCCCTGTTCGTGTCGTCTCCTGAGTCACGAGACTCTCCTCTGGCACCACCGCCTTGGCCACCCCTCTCTGCTTCGGCTCAGGGGCATGGCCTCCCGTCTTCTTGTGTCTGGTCTCCCCCGGTCCCTCCCTCCCCTTCCTCAGGGCCCTGGCCCTGCCTGTGTCCCCTGTGTCGAGGGGCGCCAGCGGGCTGCCCCTCACTCCTCCCACTTTCCTCCGACAGAGGCCCCGTTGCAGACACTTCCCATGGACGTGTGGGGCCCAGCCCACGTCCGTGGACAGGGTCACGAGCGCTACTTCCTGCTAGTTGTTGAAACCTACTCGCGTTACACCACAGTCTTCCCCTTGCGCAGCAAGGGTGATGTCACTGAGGTGCTGATCGACTGGATCCGCGCAGCTTGTCTCCAGCTCAGGCAGAGCTTTGGCTCGGACTTTCCTGTTCTGCGTCTGCACTCGGACAGAGGCGGAGAGTTCTCTTCTGGCCTTCTGCGAGCCTACTGTCGTGCACGAGGCATCCGTCAGACCTTCACGCTTCAAGACTCACCGCAGCAAAATGGGATTGCTGAGCGCCGCATTGGCATGGTCATGGACGTCGCTTGTACGTCTATGATGCATGCGGCTGCCCCCTATTTTCTCTGGCCGTTTGCGGTGAGGTACGCGGCGCATCAGCTCAACCTCCGCCCCAGGGTCTCCATGCCGGAGACCTCCCCAGCCTTGCTGTGGACGGGGAAGGTTGGCGATGCGTCAGCGTTCCGGGTCTGGGGATCTCGGGCGTTTGTCCGCGACTTGTCTGCGCACAAGCTGTCCCCTCGTGCTGCTCCTTGTGTCTTCCTGGGGTTCCCCCCTAACGCGCCTGGGTGGAAGTTCTACCACCCTTCCTCTCGACGTGTTCTGTCCTCCCAGGATGTCACGTTTGACGAGTCGGTCCCCTACTACCGCCTCTTCCCCTACCGCACTCCTTCCCTCCCCCCACCCCCGCTCTTCCTTGTACCAAGTCCCCCCCAGGTAGACCCTCTTTCCCCTCAGGGTCCTGCCCCTTCAGGTGTGTCCCAGGTAGACGCGGTCGAGCTTGTCGAGGTCACTGGTAACTCTGGTGCTGCTGAGGGTGCTGAGCTTGGGGGCGCTACGTCTGGGGGTGCTGAGCCTGGGGGTGCTGAGCCTGGGGGTGCTGAGCCGGGGTGTGCTACGCCTGGGGGTGCTGAGCTTGGGGGTGCTACGCCTGGGGGTGCTGAGCCTGGAGGTGCTCCACCTCGAGGTTCTCCGGGTGCTTCGTCTCGCCGGGAGCCACTCTCTCCACAGGAGCTGTGCGAA